CAACGAACGGCGAACCTCCTATGTGCTCTCCCTTCTCTTCTACTTCCCATTTACTCGCCGGAATCCACTTCGTGCCTGCCTGTTTCCTTGGCCGAATAGAGAAAAGGGAGAGGGGAGAGTGTTGAGAGCTTTGATGGGGGTTACAAATGGGTAAGGGAAAATGAAGGGGAGAGTGGAGTTTCAAATTAAGAAATGAATGGGGGAGTTATGACGAATTAAGAGGATTAAATAAGAATGATGGTGATGAGTTGTGGCGTGTGAGTTGGTGCTGGGAGTTACATCTCCTAATTTGTTCCGTTGTGTAAAATCTTACCTGATCGGTACGCGGTACTTTCCCCGAACGGGTCCGAATTGAGATCCGTTTACGTTTCTGGAATCAGACAGACAAAACGAATATTATGACATAATCAAATAATTTTTCTAAGGATTTTATTTTCCAAACCCCGGTCCGAGTTAGTAATTAATTAATTAGATTAATCAATTCTAATAGACCGGGTCGCAGGGCGTTACATTAAGACTTATGTTTGTTGTTTTCTTTTGGGAGTCATGACCTTCCCCTTCGGAACGAAGGCCAAGCTCAAAACCAACTCGGGAGTTCCTTGTTGGATGGTCAGATCGATGCCCCGTTCGGAACAATAGTTCATAAATCCCATTGTTCGCAGGCTAAGGGTCGCCAGTCAACTAGGGTTGGACATGGTCAACATCGGAGGTCATCGCTAGAGCACCCCCACTACCCCATCCAATATCAATGTCTGAGATTCACAACCATTGCTTGGACACCGCCCCTGCTGCCCACCCACGCCACCAAAAGCAGCAGAGTCACCAGAATTTGTTTGGTCAATCCCGCTGCTAGTTTAGTTTGCTGCTAGAGGTTGTCGGAGTTGCTACTCTGGTCTGATCAAACGTCACCGTCCACAGCTACTGTTGGAGGCCGTTCGATGGAGGAGAGGTAATCCGCAGCAGATCCGCTGAGGTCTGTCGCCGCTGGTTATTGCCACAACTACCGGAGGTTAGTGGCATAGATGGCAGATCACCGTTGAGGGAGGTCGCCGTCGTCGGGGATCATCATAGTCGTTGATCGTGTGAGGTTGGCTCTACCGTAGACCTACATTGCTTCTTGGCCCGTTCGTCGATGAAAAACCAAAATAGGGTCGCGTAGAAAGAGTAAAGGGAGTATATGTATACCTAGGGGTTTGTACTCCGTAATTTATAATAACATGTTTGAGTAAAAATACACTCTTTGGGCCAACTTTCTCTAAATTGAAATCCGTTTGTGTCGTTAGGTTTGATCCATCTGCCTCTACCCAACAGTAAGACGTTTATAATCGATAAACAAGTATTTCTAATTTACACATGGTTTATCTTAATTCTTTTGATTAACTGATACTGATCATTTATCTAATTTAAATCCTTACAATTACAATAAGATTTGTCACGTTCTATTGCGGCGATTAGAATCTCAAAAGTATCTTTTAATTCATTAAAAGAACAAAATGTCATAAATAAATAATTCCTATTTATTTAATTAGTGATTAACTTCTATACCGATTTCTAGGCATTACAAATATATTTTATTTAGGTAAGCCCGAAAATAATGAGGAGTAGAAAAGGAAGAACTGGATTATATTCTACCTCTACAAGGAGTTGCTTAATTTGATTAGGAAACTAAATTATTTTGATCAAATGAGAGACTTGCTCTCTGCACTTCTATCTAGTATACAACACACTACTCTCTCCTCTCTTTGATTCAATCATGAGAAACACACGAGGGTGATGGGTTTATCACATATTCAGGTATACTCGTCGATACCGAGGTGACATGTCAACCGTGAGGTCGGGTGACCAATGACGGGTCAGGTCTTACGGATTCGGCTAGGAGGCTATTTAAGGCACGGTTCTAGGTGAACGGTCACCCCCGAATTAAGGTGACCGGTCACGGGTCCACTTTTCCGGATTCGACAAGTCAGCTATTTGAGGCACGTCGCTAGGTGACCGGTCACCCCCGAATTAAGGTGACCGGTCATAGGTCCACTTTTCTGAATTCGGCAAGTCGGCTATTTGGGGCACGACGCTAGGTGACCGGTCACCCCCGAATTAAGGTAAACGGTCACGGGTCTACTCTTCCGGACTCGGCAAGATAAGCATTTTTGGGTCACGGCGGTAGGTGACCGGTCACCCCCGGACTAAGGTGATCGGTCATAATTTTGGTCTTCAAAGATGAACTTTGGAAGCTATTTTAAAAGAGTCATGGATGACCGGTCACCCCCCGGATTGGGAGACCTGTCACTATCTTGGACTCTTGAGGAATGAAGTATCGGGCTCCGTACAATTTGACCGGTCTCACTTTTGAGTTTCGGCCTATAGATCATGGTCGGACGAATTCGCCTCCCCCAAACCCTAGTATCTAGGAGATCAGTGGAGGGACCCACACCCGTCAATCAAGAGATCAATGTGGAAAAGTCCTTTGGCACCATCCTAGATTTGTATTCAATCAATATATTCTAATTGCATGGTGAAAGATGTTGTCTGATTGTTTGTCCTTAAGTAAGCAACTTCCATGCACCTACTGAGCCTCCTCTACTCTATAAATAATCTGTGATAGAGAGAGGAGATGGCATTCACTACTACTTCCATAAAATCATGTACACTCTAGAAACAGAGTAAGAAATATATTCAGACTCGGGAGATTTAGCCCAGTCTAAGTGATTCTTTGTTGTGTTCATTACTATTACGCTTATCTTTATTTACCCGGTTAGGTCTCCCTAACCCGACCTAATTACCTACTTTTCATACTCAGTGGAATTTAAACCGTCATTTGGCGCCCACGGTGGGGCCAGTTTTTGAGAAAAATTGTGCCGAGTAAAGTTTCTTATACCCATGAAATACCAACAACAATATCTTATAGCAGCCATCCCGTTATTTCTGAGCTCCAACTATCTACCATCCTAGCGGTAACAACTAGCGTGGGGACAACTTTTTCCCCGCTGACTTCCGTAGAATCACTGGGGATGATCTCGATCATGTCTGTCCCTAGCCCCATGCCTATGACCACTCCGTTATTTCTGGGCTCATTGCCCCTGTCCATGTGTCCCGTTCCGGGATCAAATATGTCAGGGGTAATGGCACCACTGATGATGTATCCTCCATATCTTTCTCAGTTTGTCGCTGACCTAGCAAACGCTCAAGCGATACAAGGCTATAACCATGTTATGGCCATGATGCAACAATCAGGAGGATATATTCCATATGGTTATCCTGGCATGTACCCGATGCAAACAATGGGATTAAGTCCCCTAAAAAAATTCCCAGGACTACCCCAACACTGTTCGTCACCCGGACGATCCATTCTGTCCAGCCCGTAAACTTGGTTTCAGCAATGAACCAAGCTGGACCCTCATGCCCCGCTGGTACACTAGATGGTTATGTTGTTTCGGTCACCAATGAGGAAGAGTGGGATGAGCCTCGTACCAACAGCGGAAAGGGCATCACCAAGCCTACCAAAACCCGAGACTCGGCATTGAAACGTCTAGGTTCTAAAAAAGAAGGTCCTCGGAAATCTGTAAAACTAAGGCTCGGACCTGATACGGTTCGTCCTAGCGCATTTGAATGTCATGGCGGGGGGAGAGGCGAGCAACCCGCTCAATCTAGGTCGCCGAAGGGGACTCAGAGCCGCCACCTAGAAGAAGAGGAAGCTGAGAGCCAGCCTAGGGCCTTCACCTATACAAGATTGTCTTATGAAAGCGCCGAGAGAGATTTTGATGAGATCGGGTGCATGGCAAGGAAGTTGCAGGCCCTGGAGGACAAGGTTGAGAGAAGTGGATGAAAGAAGCATACCAGGGCGAAGTCACCCTTTACAGCCTCGGTACATATGCACAAGATGACCAAAAAGATAAAGCTAGATGTCGAGAAGTTCACTCGTAAGGAGGTCCCAGGCATCCATCTAGATACTTTTCACAACGCCGCTTAGATGGTAGGTTGCACGGATGCTGAGGAGTGTTTGTTGTTCTCCTCTTTGAAGGGAAGGACTGTGGAATGGTTTAATAATCTTCCCCAGGGCAAGATCGGATCTTTTGAAAAGTTGGCTGAAATCTTTCGAAGGAAATATCAGGACAATTGCGTCAAGAGGAAGAAATTTACCTACCTTAACATGGTAGGACAGAGGGAGAAGGAGACCTTGATCCAATTCCTCACCCGGTGGAGGGAGGAAATGGACAAAGTGGAAGAGATTGACGACAATACCGCCATGTCGCTCCTCATGAACGCATTCCGCTCTAGGGAAGTCTATACGGAATTCTATAGGAGACCTTCCGCTTCTTACCAGGAAACATACAACACCGCATGGGAGTATGGGGAAGCGGATAACCTGAATCAGAGCAATAAAGATCTGGAGGAAGGATATAAGGCCAAGTCATCCCAGGCCAAAAGGGAAGATCAATCAGGAGGCTCGAAGTCAAAAACTCATCACGAAGACATTGTGCATGAGATCCGAGAGAATAAAAAAAGGGGGCAAGCCCAAAAGGCCCTGGGCGGAGAAATGGTGCACCTACCACCAATCAGATTCACACAATACTATGGAGTGCCGGAGTATGAAAGTTTTACTCCGGGAAATGGTAAACAAAGGCGACTTCAATGGGGAGTACGTGGAAGAGGCGAGAAAGGCAAATAGGTGGAATCACCCTGGAGAAGGGGAAAAAGATAAGGCGAAGAAACCCCCTGCAAGGAAGGAGTACATAACCATGATTGTGGGAGGGCCTGAAGGGGGAGACACGACATCTCAAAGGAAGAATTGGGAAAGGAGCTTGAACGTAGCCACAGTGTCAGCGGAACCGCATACACAAAATGTGAAGAGAGAACCTATCACTTTTAGTGACAGGGATTTGCCCTGTACCGGGGAAGATCATAATGACCCCCTGGTCATTACAATGGATATAAATGGTGCAGACCTGGCCAGAGTGTTAGTTGACACGAGAGTAGTGTTAATGTTCTGTACTAGGAGACATTCAAGAAGCTGAAGTTGGATAGGTCACAACTGGAGCCCCTGCAGATTCCCTTGTCAGGCTTCACCAGAGCAACGATTGAGGCTGAGGGAACTATTACATTGTCTGTAGAATTGGGGACAGGTAGCAGTGTGGTGAGCAAACGGATGAAGTTCGTAGTGGTTGACATCCATTGTGTACACAATGCGATCCTGGGGCGACCCGTGATCAACCAAGTAAGGGCAATCATTTCTATGACCCACATGTGCATGAAGTTTTACACCCCCAATGGCATTGGAGAAGAGAGGGGAGACTAGAAGAATGCTAGGTCATGTTATCTCCCAACAAGAGGAGAAAAGAGAAGAGAAGCCAAGGCTGGAGCCTGGCTCTAGCACGGAGGAGGTTCAGTGTGACCCGGCCATACCAGAAAGGGTGGTCAGGATCGGTACTCGACTACCGGTTGAATAGAAGGTTGCAATCATTCAAGTCCTCACTAGGTACAACTCTTTATTTGCATGGAGTATTGCGGATATGTCAGGGATAGTTAGATCGGTGATTTGCCATCGCCTATCAGTGATGGAAGGGTCTCACTCTATGAGACAAAAGAAATGATATTTGGCTAGCGAGCATAGGGAGTTTATGAAAAAAGAGGTCAAAGACATACTTGGGGTAGGTCACATCAGGGAGGTTCATTACCCTGGATGGCTAGCCAATGTCGTCCTGGCCCCCATGGGAGACACATGGCGGATGTGTGTTGACTACACAGACCTCAACAGGGCATGTCCCATGGACTCCTATCCTCTTCCCAGTCCTGATCAAATGGTAGATGAGACAGTAGGGTGCGAACTGCGCAGTTTTATGGATGCCTTTAAAGGATATAATCAAATTTACATGGCCGAGGATGACGAGGAAAAGAAATCCTTCGTCACCCCCAACGGGACTGATGGGTGTATTCCACCCACGACCGGTCAAAGGAAGAGACCAATTAGTTGACCGGTCAATCTCGAAGGTTTTGGAAGGAAGACTCAAATCGTCAGCAAAACGACGTATCATCAGCCAAAAGATGACTGGTATACTTCACAAAAAAGTATACTGGTCAAACTACGTTGTCATCCAATTTATTCCAGACTTCGATGAATTCATCCCTCGGAGATTACCCGGTGTAGTTTCTGGGGTTGAAAAGTGTCGGCGGAAGAGGATCTGCGAGGGCTTGGCGTGTAGCGACCCATGTCAGTAGAGGACAACTGGAGATGCTGGAGAATCCATCCAAGGCACTACTCGACAAAGGGAATGATCCCCCTCACAAGGCGACAAGGCAGCTCGAGGACGAAACCAGTCACCTCGCACCACATCAGCAGCATGCCCCCACGTGGGCGCACGTGATCTTGTCCCCCATAGCCTAGTATAAATACTCATGTAAACCTCAGAAAGAGGGATCCGAATTCATTCTCTCTAGAACTCTCTTGTAAAAACACCCGTGCATTTTCCTTTATAAGATAAATTGGGCTACAGGTGTTCCACCTAAAGTCCTACCGGTCAATCTGCGTATTTTTACCTTTCTTACTTTGCCAAATCGAACAAACTATTCTAGACCCAGTCTAGTATAGTTTGACCGGTCAAGTAATTTACACCATCATTTGTGGCGCCGACTGTGGGACCATTAAGGTTTCTTCTCTTCTAAAACCTACCCACAAGAAAACCACTCGAAATGTCTTCCAGCCAACAGATCAACGCTATTTCCGCTCAGGTGCAGGCCACCAATGAGGGTGCCAGCACCCCAGTGACTGCAACCATACCGGTCATTTCAGCCCCGGTGTTGCCTCTGGGTCTGAGCTCTATCCCGACGGCCAGCGTGATCAGTCCCTTTGCGACCCCCGTCCCTTCCGCTGGACCGAGTGTCACGTTCCCACCAAGCATGACTCAGTTCATGAATGACCCAGCCAACCTACAAGCCATCCAGGGCTTCGGTCAGGTCATGGCCATGTGCCAGCAGAATGGGGGGATGCCTTTCCTCCCTGGTATGTTCCCGTTCACTCTTCCAGGCACAGGAACCATGCCCCTACAAGCTTCGATGGCGGTGACGTCGTTCCAGACGCCAATGCCGCAGCCATCACCTTTACAGCCCCAGCTGGTCAGCACCATGGCCCCTGTCAACTTGACCGGCGCACTTAACGCTGCAGGGAACCCAACATCGCTGTAGGGAACCCAACATCGCTGTCCATTTAACACCTGATTTTTAAAACTAGACGCATAACAGCGCTGTCCAGAGGCTCAACAGCGCTGTCCCAACAGCGATGTAGCCTTTGGAACATCGCTGTTCTGGATAAATTTTTCAAAAAAAATATCCGTTGGCACCAGCATTAATGGATCCAACAGCCATATTTTTGAAAATCTGGACGTTGGAGACCTCTTTCTCTATAAATTGGGACCTCCTCTATTCACTTTTACACACACAAACACAATTCTCTTCAACATCCTTGCTTATTTCATCACTTCTACTCTCTTCTCTTGAGATTTCTTCATCATGGGCAAAGATAAGAACAGGGCAGGAGCTTCCGGCAAATCCAAGGCCAAATCCCGGGTGCCTACGACATCCACCGAAGAACGCCTCTACTATGGTGACGGGTCATACCTTTGGTTTGATTCCGAGGAGGAACGCACCCGTTTCCTCACTTTCTTCTCTAAACGGGTTGTGGCTCCTCCACGGATCATCCCGGAGCGCTACCCAGAGCTGCAGCGCTACGACGACCTCGACGCGCAGCTTCATCAGGCCGGCCTTTGGCCCTTCGTCTCCCGGGCTCGGAAAGAGATCAACCCGGCGCTGATTCGGGTCTTTTACTCCAACCTCCGGCGTGAGGGCGACGTGCTCTATTCTCTTGTCAAGAGCACGCCGATAGAACTGTCAATTGAGCAGCTTGGGTGCATCGACGGCCTCCCCTACCAAGGCGACGATGTCTCCCTATATGGCGGAGAGGACTGGGTGCTCAACAACGAGGGCCTTATCCTCAACGAGCTTGGCATCACCGAGCTCATCCTCCATGCCTCGGGCTGCCCCACCATCCACTCCGCTAACCCCGATGGCCGTCTTCTTCTCTACATCGTCTCCCGGATCATCAAACCCAGGAAGCACGGCGACACCATCATGTCCGGTGAAGATCTCAAGCTCATCCATGCGATCATGCACTCGGCCCCAATCAATTGGGCAAAGTTTGTCATGATCAACATGACGATTGACGCGTCCACCGACCACGACCACCTTTTCCCGTACCCGTTCGTGGTGATGGACATCCTTGAACGGTTCAAGGTGACCACCACCGTTGGCCCACTCACAAAGGCCACGAAGATTTGGGCGGTCAGCACCCAAACCATCAAGAAGCGGTCGGACAACACCGGACCTGCCACTGCCGTGCAACGGCGCCGTTCTGCTGGTGGCCCAGCCAAAGCCCAGGCCCGGGCCAATCTTGCCTCCATCGCCAACTCCCTCAACCGGCTTCACTTCAAAGTTGACGGGATGGATGGCTACCTTGAGCGGCTCGACAAGGGCACGCCGTGAACGCCTACTTCCAACGCGTTAACTACGTCCCCCCACCGTACCATGGCACGTTCTCTGGGCAAGTGTACGGTGACGAGGACGAAGAAGATGGCTCCTATGCTTCGTCAAGCTCCCCGGACGAGGACGAGTTCGACGACGCCGTTGACGGTGATGAGATGGACGACGACGACGAGGAGGAGGAAACCGAAGACGAAGACTAGGTCGCCCCTAGAATTTCTCTCTTTTATTTTAATTATCATTTCTCTTAATGCTTCCGTTGTACTCCGCTATTTCCCATCTTCAATAAATAAAAGTTATCTTTTATCTTTTTGTTAATGTCAAAAGAGGGAAGAAAAGGGCTATGCATATACTAAGGGGGAACACCTCTAAAAACGAGACCGTTTGATTTTAATCCGACTAATTTCTTTTAAGCACAAATTAAAGGGGGGAACTTTTTCACAACTTTTTGAAAATCAAATATCCCTTAATATGCACATCCCCGTCTTTTTTGCCATTATCAAAAAGGGGGAAATTGTTGGAACACGGGTTTACGCCTATGTCGTACTAAGCCGTGTTCGTTTTATGACAGGTTTTGATAATGTCAAACCGCCGTGACAATAACAAGGTTAAACTGAGCAAAACCAAGGCGAAGGAACATGGCATGATGAACGGAGAACCAAGAACCAACAATCAAGAGCGAAGAATTAGAATTGCATCGAGTCAGTCTTAATGTGATCGAGACCGGCACAAACTTCCAAATCTTGGCTCTCTAAGCTCAACTCATCAAAACCCTTCTTGTATATTCAAAATTATTTTCATAAGTTTTTAAACCTGGCTAAAAACACTTGGAGTTTGCCCAAACCAAAAACCAAGTCACCCAGCGTTTGGCTTTCAGAAACCGACGTTCGGCTTTCGGTTTTCAGCATTGGTTTTTAGGCATCCAAACCAACCAAGTGGTTTTTAACTTTTTATGATTGGTTTTTGCTTCTGGGCATACTTAATCAGTTCTCCCACAAAAACGCCTCAAAAACCACTTTCCGTTTTTGGTCGTTTAGTGAAAACCGTGCTAAACGGCACGAACTTGGTTAGTCGTGGTTTTCAACTAAATGACGTGGTTTTTAAAATGTTTTACTTGATTTCTTAGCAAAATGCAATAAACAAATGTTTTCAATACTTGTTTTTTACTTTGGAGAACTTGTGTTTTTGACAACGGCTAACGGCGTGACTAAACCAACCATGGGTCTGGCTAAATCATCCCAACAGCGATGTTGAGGTAACCAACAGCGCTGTCTGGCTTGGGTGGCTAAAAACATGGTTTGGCGTTAAGTCCTCCAACAGCGATGTGGGACATTAGACATCGCTATTGAGCCAAGGTTGGATTTCCAGAAACTTCTAGAGCAGCGATGTAGGCCTCCCTACAGCGCTGTCCAACCTAAGCCAAAAATATAGTGCATTAGCAGAAAGTTTCAGGACAGCGATGTTGACCCAGCAACATCGCTGTCAGGCCAAAACTCCACCTTCAAAGGCAGACCTAAACAGCGATGTTCTAGTATGGAACATCGATGTAGAGACCTGACCGTTGGAAGGAATTTAAGGCTAAAACTTTCCTTGTTTGGAAGTCAAAAGCCAAAACAGCGATGTAGGGATTTTAGGCATCGCTGTTGGCATGACCGTTGCTTCCCATTTTTCAAAACGCAAGCCTAGAACAGCGATGTCCAACCCTAGGATAGCGCTGTCTGGGTGAATTTCAACAGATCCAATCTTGATCAAATCCCACAAATTGTGCCAATCACCCCTTAAATACTTTGGTCCGTTGGAGCCTATTTTTATACTATAAAATGGGGTGTTTGGGTCTGTTTTATACATAACATTACTTCACAACTCCTACTCTTTCAATTGCAAATCATTCTTCAATTATTCTTAGCTTTTGAGAGCCATTTTTTGTGAAGCTTGTGTTGTGTTCTTGAGCGTTCTTAGTTTACTCGTTATCCACTCTAAAAGAGAGTATTGTTCTTGAGTGTTTTTAGTGTTCTTAAACACTTGACAAGAGAAGGTATTTCTCTTGTTGGTCGAAGGAAGGGCTGTTTCCTTCGAAGGTTCGTTGAGGTTCGTGTGACTCGAATTCTCAAGTTGTACGGGTTTGTTAAGCACCGTTAAGCTTAACGAGGTAGTAGTGTAGCTCGAGAGAGTCTCTCGGGAGGCTGGATTAGCCACAAGTTGTGGTGAACCGGGGTAAAATCGGTGTGCCTCTTACTCTTCTCTTTACTTCTCGTTTATTCATTTTTTATTCCTGCAATTTTTGATCAAACGCTATTCACCCCCCCTCTAGCGTTAGTCTCTTATTCTAACATTAGGGATGTCCAGAAACTGACAAGACAATTGGCGGCGCTCAATCGATTCTTGTCAAGGTCAGCAGAAAAGGCCTTACCTTTTTTCAAAGTTTTAAAGAAGCTAATGCTTTTGAATGGAGTCCCGAGTGAAGCCAAGCATTCGAAGATCTGAAGACTTACCTGGCTTTGGATATTGTTGTAGTGAAGCCGGAAGCTAGGGAGACGCTCTACTTGTACCTAGGAGTGACCCAGCAAGCCGTCAGCTCTGTGCCGATGCGAGACGATGGGATTCCAAGGCCCATCTATTATGTGAGCAAGGCCTTGAATGGTGCCGAGAGCCAATATACCTCAATGGAGAAGGCCAAATATGCATTATTCATCACAGCGAAGAAGCTTGCTTCTTATTTCTAGGCTCACCCAATTGTGGTCTTGACGAATGATAAAGTCGTTTTATACATAATATTATCCTCACATTTAACACTTTTTTTTATAACTTTTCATCTTAATAAAGAATAATTTTTCTATTAAAACTCATATTTCTATATTTTGGAGTAGTAAAATTGAATGGGCCAAGAAAAGATAAAAATATGTTTGATTTCAACAAGAAATTAGTAATATTTTCCTCTTGGAATGGAATTGGAAGTTGAAGCAAGAGAGAAAGCCGTTTAGAATCAATTTTGAAGCAAAATAGGAGTTAAGGAGCCGAGTGCACGACAGGCGACCAGGCAGGCGGCCACCTACCAGGCCGCCTGCCAAGCATGAGCAAACTGCGAGGGTTGGCTCTGGCGGCGAAGCAACACGCATACAGCGAGTTTGGGCTCCGGTGGGCTAGTAGGCGCCCGCCTGCTTACCCGCCTATCAATATTCCCGAAGGTTCGCGTCTCCAGAATCTTCCTTCATCACCATCCAAAAACTCCAATTCTTCTCCATTCTAGAGTTTGAGAGTTATTCCTAAAAGTTTTAAGTGTTGATTTCAAGATTAGTCAAATTTGTATTCAGTTCTCCAAGATCAGTAAGCTTTCTTGTACACTTTTGCTTTATTAATAAAATTATCTTTTATTGTTTAGTTTAAATTGTGTGCTTATATGGCTTTTAGTGGTTAAATTTTTATTAAGGTATGAATTGAATTAAGGGTATGGGCTAATGATTATTAATTAAAAGTAAATAGTGACTTGGTTAATTGAGTTATTTGTCTAAAATGAGATTCACTAATTAATAGATTTGGCCAATTTATTAATTAATGTTTGGAGATTATTTGTCTGGCTTGTCTATGAGTTAGGAAAAATAATCTAGCCAACCATATTTAGACACATTAATGAGGCCTAGAAATACGATAAGTTAATGATTTAAAATCTAATTAATAAAGAAGCTAATTTAATCTAAAATTATTACCTTAGCCCATATACCTAATCGATTCATACCTGTTTCTAAATCATTGATTGAATTAATCATATTATTGCTATTATCTTGCTTTAAACTCGATTGCCCTAAGTTTAAGATTAATTGTTCTGTCAAATTAAAATATCAAGTTATTAACAAATACTTCCCTTTGCCAATCCTTGTGAGACGACCCGAGTTATTCTCGGTTAATTTATTGACTTACCGCTATATTTAGCTTCGTCAATGGACCAACCCCTTGGTATGGTCATGAGAAATTCTACATCCTCGGGGAGGATGATAAAATGGGAAATGATGTTGACCCAGTTCAACATTGAATACTGTCCCTAAACGACCATAAAGGGCCAAGTTGTTGCTGATTTCTTGGTCGAGATGATGGGTTAGAAGGAGGAAGAGCACGAGAAGGTGATTACTGAGTCTTGGTGGACTATGTCAGTAGACGGGGCATCCAGGCTAAAAGGTTATGGGGGAGGAGTGGTCTTCAATACTCTAGAAGGGTTCGAGGTTTATCACGCCCTGATTTTTAAGTTCAAGCTAACTAACAATGAAGCAGAATACGAAGCCCTGGTAAGTGGGCTGAGGTTGGCTAAAACCCTACATGTTTCACACCTGGTCATCAAATCGGATTCCAGCCAGGTGGTAGGGCACGTTAATGAGAATATAGATGCAAAGGGAGAGAAGATCCAAAAGTATCGAGACCTAGTGAGGGCCTTACTACGAGACATGGAAGAGTATAAGTTTGAGCAGATTCCTAGGGGGCAAAAAACATACGCAGACCTGTTATCAAAGTTAACCCAAGAAACCCTGGAACATGTCTCGAAATTAGCCAAAATTGACATGGTGGAGAGGCCGAGTATTGAATTGAAACCAATAAACCTGGTCATGGAACTTGACCGGGTGGGTCCTGGCCTGGTCCAGGCGGATGATTTCTGGATGACAGATTTGGTCAAATATTTGGTGACTGGGCAACTTTCTGAGGAAGATGACCGGTCATGCAAAGTGAAGTTGAGCGCACCTCGTTTCCAGCTGCTTGAAGGAAAACTATACAAACGGTCATTTGGTGTACCATTGTTGAGATGTCTGACAAAGTCTGAAGCAGAGAGAGTGGTTGCCGAGGTGCATGAAGGTGTCTGTGCAGCCCACCAGATGTCAAGGACCTTGGCGCAAAGAATCATCATGCTAGGTTACTATTGGCCGACAATGAACATGGATTGTGAGCGGTATGTACAGAAATGTCCATCTTGCCAAATATTTTAGAAATTCCCAGGGTGACCAGCAACTTATCGATCATCCGGTGTCCAATATTGTCCCGTTCGCAAGATTTGGGCTGGATATCATGGGAGCATTCCCCGTGGCTCAAGGAAGTAAGAAGTATGTTGTCGTTGCCATCGACTCTTTCACGAAATGGGTAGAAGCTGAAGCTTATGCAACTATCACTACAAAGCAATGTCAAAAATTTGTCTGGCAGCACATCATAACCCAGTTTGGAGCCCCACGAAGCATTGTCACTGATAATGGACCATAGTTCCGAAATCCACGCTTCACTAAATACTTAGAAGATTTTGGAATCACGCACAACAAGGCATCAGTGGCCTACCCCTAGGGAAATGGTCAGGTAGAGAATGTAAATTGAACCATAGTATATGGTATCAAGAAGCGACTCGGGGAGGCCAAGAGGAACTGGCTTGAGAAGCTACCACATATCATATGGCCATATGGGCCTATCGGGTGACGTCAAGGAGGGCTACTAGGGAAACACCTTTTGTCCTCACGTATGGCTGTGAGGTAAGATTGCCAATTGAGGCAAAGATTCCAACGTTCCGCGAGGCAGAATACAACGAGGAATAGAACAACGAGAATCACATGGCTGAGCTAAACATGGTCGATGAAAGGAGGGCCATGGCCGAAAAAAAAATGATGGAATACCAGCAGACAGTGAAGGCTTACCATGACAACAAGGTAGGGCCCTGTTACTTCAAAGTAGGCGATGAGGTCTTGAGACGCAGAGAAGAAAGCAAGCTTAGGGATGGAGGAAAACTTGCAAAGAAATGGGAGGGTCTGTACAAGGGGACTACAATTATCCGCCTTGGGACCTACAAGCTGGAAACCTTGGAGGGGAAAGAAGTTGAGAGTGTTAGAATAATTAGCCTTCACTAGAGGGGGGTGAATAGTGAGACACGAGAATGTTGATAAATTTTCGCGGAATAAAAATCACAGGGATAAAGTAAAGAGCGGAATAAAAAGTCGTAAAGGGAGCACACTATGATTTATACTGGTTCACCACAACGTGTGGCTAGTCCAGTCTCCCTAGAGACTCTCTCGAGCTACACTACTTCCGTTAAGCTTATGGGTTCTTAACAAACCGTTACAACCTGAGAACTCGGGTCCCACGAGCCTCAATACACTTGCTCGGAGATACCGCACTCCAAGACTTCAACCCGAAGGAATCTGCCCTTCCTTCGTACAACCAAGGGAACAAACCTCCCTTATAGTGTGTAAAACACTAAGACACTCAAGAACAAAGCTCTCTCTAAAGAGTAGATAATGAGTAAACTAATTTAGATAAAGAACACACTCAATTCCTTAAGAAATGACTCTAAAAAGCTATGTAAAAAGTTTATGTAATGATGCAATGTAAAGCTATGAAATGTGTGAGGAATGGTCGTTAAAAGTATACCCAAAAGACCCTTATTTATACCCAAAAATGATGTGTAACGGATGGGAGTTGATTTGGGTTTAATGGCATGATTTGTTGAAATCAAATAAAAGTGGTTCTGCAGGAAATTAGCCTACCCAGCAATGTATGGAACTACCCATCGCTGGTAAGCCATTTTTCCTTCAGTTTTAAAGACAACGGTCTCCTACCCATGGATGGGTAAGAACTTCCCATCGCTGGGTGGGATGTTGACTTTCAAACAAGGAAAGAATTGGGCTTAAATGCCTTACAACGGTCATGCCTACCCAAGGATGGGTAATATCCTCCAATCGTTGGGAACTCACTTACCCATTGATGGGTAATATCTCCCATCGCTGGGTAGCATGGTTCTAGAATCCAGTTGAGCTAAAAGATCACTTACCCATGGATGAGTAATATCTCCCATCGTTGGGTGGCATGGTTCTGGAATCCAGCTAAGCTAAAGGATCAGTTACCCATGGATGGGTAATATCTCCCATTGCTGGGTTGATGGCTAGTCCAAAAACCTATGGTTTTTGCCTGAGCCATGGCCTAGCCAACCGATGCTAAAACCCGAACAAAAAATGTGAAGTTCTCCAAAATAAAAACCAAGTGTTTAATGTTAGAAAAACGTCCCAACGCTAGAGGGGGGTGAATAGAATTTGAAATGAAAATGACACAGGAATAAAAAATTAAAAGTGTAAAGTAAAGAGCAAGGAAGAGGCACACCGTTTTTTCCCTGGTTCACCACAACGTGTGGCTAGTCCAGCCTCCCGAGAGAGTCTCTCGATCTACACTATCAACGTTAAGCTTAATGGTACTTAACAAACCCGTACAACTTGAGAGTTCGAGTCAACCGAACCTCAACAGACCTTCGAAGGAAAAAACCCTTCCTTCGAACTACTCAAGAGAAAAACTTTCTCTTATCAAGTGTCTAAAAACACTAAATCACTCAAGAACAATACTCTCTTTTAGAGTGGATAATGAGTAACTAGAAACGCTCAAGAACACAACACGAACTTCACAAAATGGCTCTCGAAAAGCTATGAATAATGTATGAGTGTAATGCAATGAAAAAAAAGAGTTGTGAAGTAATGTTATCTGTAAAGCAGACCCAAACACCCCATTTTATAGTAGAAAAATAGGCTCCAGCGGGTAGGAGTTATGTTGAAACACAGGCTTGTCACGTTTTTCGTACTAAAGCCATGTTTGTTCTTATGACAGGTTTTAATAATGCCAAACCGCCGTGATCAAGTCGAACATTGAATATACAAGGCGAAGAACGAAGATAAGAGCAAGAGCTAAACGAAGACCAAGAACGAAGACCTTAGTCATAGTATTGAGTCGGTCTTTATTGTGATCAAGACCGACCCAATCTTTACACCTTGGCTCTTTAGGCTAAAATCTCTCATTGCATTTCTTACATCATAAAAATGTTTTTCAAACTTGTTAAAGTCATTAAAAACACTTGGTGTTCACCCAAACCAAAAACCAAGCCACCCAGTGTTCGGCTTTCAGAAACCAGTGTTCGGCTTTCGGTTATCGGCTTTGGTTTTTGGCATTCGAACCAACCAAGTGGTTTTCAGCATTTTATGATCTTCTTTCACTCAAATGACGTGGCTAGCCGTGGTTTTTACTCAAATGACGTGGTTTTTAAAGTAACTCACTTGATTTATTAGCCAAATACATCAAATAAGTGTTTCAAACACTTAGTTTTTATTTTGGAGAACTTTGGATTTTTTTGGTCGGTTTTTGCATCGGTTGGCTAGGCCGTGGTTAAGGCAAAAACCATAGGTTTTTGGCTAACCACCCACCCACCGATGGGAAGAACATCCCATCGATGGGTAAGCGGCCCCTTAGCCAAACCAACTTCCAGAACCATGCCAAACAGCGATGGGAGGTTCTACCCATCGTTGTTAAAGCCTTGGTCCAACATTATCACAAGGCAGAATGCCCTTACCCAGCGATGGGAAGCTTTACCCATCGATGGGAACCCAACGATGGGAAGGCTTAACCATCGATGGGAAGGCATGACCGTTGTATGTCATTTAAGGTTGATTCTTTCCATGTTTGGAAGTCAACCTCCCACCCAGCGATGGGAAGCATGTACCCAAAACTGAAGGAAAATTGGCCTACCAGCGATGAGTAAGTTCCAAACATCGATGGGAAGCAAATATCCTACAGATCCCAAATCTTTTCAATCCCATAAATCAAGCCAATCACCTCTTTAATGCATTGGTCCGTTGGAGCCTATTGTTGCACTATAAAAAGGGGTGTTTGGGTCTGCTTTTCTTATCAATTAACTTCACAATATTCATATTATCATTTCATCCAAACAACATTATTTTCCATAGCTTTCTAGAGCCAATTTGTGAAGCTTGAGTTGTTCTTGAGCGTATATAGTTTACTCAACATCTACTCTTAAAGAGAGTCTTGTTCTTGAGTGTTCTTAATCTTGTAAACACGTTTAGGGAAGCTTGTTTCCCTTGGTTGTACGAAGGAAAGGTATTTTCCTTTCAGTTGAAGTCTTGGAGTGCGGTATCTCCGAGCAAGTGTATTGAGGCTCGTGGGACTCGAGTTCTCAGGTTGTAACGGTTTGTTAAGCACCCGTAAGCTTAACGGAAGTAGTGTAGCTCGAGAGAGTCTCTCGGGAGGCTAGATTAGCCACAAGTTGTGGTGAACCAGGGTAAATGTTGGTGTGCTCCCTTTACGCTTTCTACGCTCTTTATCTTTCACGTTCTTAATTTTTTATTCGTGCGATTTCTACGATCAACCTCTAGGCCACCGCTTTTTGATGGCACCAACTACACATTTTGGAAAGAGCGGATGAGAATTTATATCCGCTCAACCAACTTCCAGTTGTGGTTGGTCATCAAAAACGGCGAAGAAACGCCAATGAAGAAGGTCGATGAAAAACTCGTCCCATAGACCGAAGAAGAATTTGATGCCGAAGACATCAAAAAAGTGGAGAACTACGCCAAGGCAATAAACATGCTTTATTGTGCCGTAAATCCTGACGACTACCGCAAGATCTCCTGCCGCTCAACCGCCAAGGAGATGTGGGATAAACTTGAGGTGACGTACGAAGGAACGGACCAAGTACGTGATGCCTAGATTGACTTCCTCACCCAAGAATATGAGATGTTCAGGATGAAGGAGCACGAGAAGATTGATGACATGTTCGACCGATTTTCCAAGATAGTCAACGATCTTCATGCATTGAAGAAGACTTACACCGACAGGGATCTTGTACGAAAGATCCTACGGAGCTTGACATCCGAATGGCGATCTAAGGCCGATGCCATCTATGAGTCAATCGGCACATCAAATGTCACCATCGACGGTTTAAGAGGTAACTTAAAAACTTATGAATCTACTATACTTAACCCGTCTTTGAATGACCAAAGGAAAGGCATAGCATTAAAAGCCTTCAAAGAACCAACAATGAATGACTCAAGCAACGATGATGAAGTCAAGCTTGTCATGAAAAAGTTTTGCAAGCTTCTAAGGAAGAAAGAAAAGGTTGAGGATGGCCCTGTGTGCTATGGATGTGGTGAAGCCGGGCACATCAAGAACAAATGCCCAAGAAGCGGAAGGAATGCTCGTCACTTCAAAAAGCAAAGAACATACATCTCTTGGGGTGGCGACTCTGGCGATGAGTCAAGCGAGCAAGAGGAAGACGAAGAAGCAAACCTTTGTCTCATAGCTCAAGAAGAAGAGGAGTCCGACAACGGCGAAAACCAAGAGGTATGTAATTCTTCTACTGTTTCTTATTCTCTTGAAGAAATGCAAGAAGCTCTTCAAGAGCTTTATAACGAGTTTGTTAGCGCTTCTAAAACCAACAAAGCTTTAAAGAAACGTTTTTCTAATCTTGAAACTGACCTTGAAAAACTTCAAAAGGAAAACGAAAAACTAAAAGAGGAAAATAAGTTTTATGGTAAAAGAAGCGCCGACAAACCCGAGAGCTCTACGAAACATTGTGACACTTGCATAGATTTGAAAGAACAAGTCACAAAACTTGAGAGTACAGTTAAGAAATTTAATACTCCGCACAAAGATCTTAATTTACTCCTTGACACTATGCACTTTTCTAAAGAGGGAATAGGTTTTAATAAAAACGAAGCTAAGGATAGAGAAAACGTTGAGCAAACACCTAAACAACCTCCTAAGGCTCAACGTAAGAAAGCTAAAAATCAAGTTAATAGAAAACCTAATCAATCCAAGAACACTAGACAACCTAGACAAAAACCTAGGAATGAAAACGTTCATGATAGACAACCTAAGAAAAATTATCAAAATGATTTGGTGCATAAAAATAATTTTTCTCAAAATAGAAGAGACAATATGAGAACACCTAGAAATGATCCCTTTGAAAACATGCATAAACCATCTTTTTCTCAAAATAGGACAAACATGGTTAGGCCCCCTAGCTATTATCAACCTAGGCATATGTTCAACCCAAACGTAGTATGCCATTATTGCAATAGGCTAGGACATATAGCTCCCGTGTGTTTTACCAGACATAGGCACTCCACCTATAATGAAACACACAACATTTTTGGTGCTAACAAAAAGAAATCCTTTGGAAAAGGATAATCGTATCATAAGCAATCTCCACAGGATAATTCACTAAAGAAACCGTATTATTTCTTCTACTTTGACGAAAAGAAGAAAGTCCACATTCCGTTACCAGAACCAACACAAACCACACCGAGATATCGGCACTCCGTTCATGTAACGCCCCAAAACATACCCTAGAATTATTAATGAATAAATAATCAATTAATCAAATTTGTTTTGATTAAAATAAATTATTGTTGGGCTTTGGGTCGATACAAAATTTGTTTTGATATCTAATATCAAAATCTGGATAAGTCTCATAAAGATAAATCCAATATGTGGACTATTTGTGAGGTCTTGATTGGGAACCTGAGTACAGACCCAAATCAAGAGTAAATAAAGAATTTGTTTAGAATGTGAATATTGAAATGATTTGTTGAAATAAATCATTAGAACAAATGATATGAATTAAATGTGAGAAACCTTTTTGAATAAAGATCAACTAAATCAATTTTTACTCTGTCAAAGTCAAACACCCAAAAATATGATGTCAGAAAAAGTATAACCAACAAATATAAAAATCATATCGTTGGATAGAGTTTAACTGTCCAATCGCAACGGTGCAAACGGAATTCAATTTGGAGAATGTTGGACCAAAAAGTGTACCCCGACTGGAACCAAATTTGTCCCAATCAGGAAGTGGCGTGTAAAATCCCACAAATCCGTCGTCCTGCGCACTAAATCGATCACCAACGAAGAAATGGAATCCTGAGTCACACCCATGTCTTCTTCTTCACTTTTTCTCATATAAAAGGAACCCAATCTCATCCATTTATTCATCAAATTCCTTCAAATAAACTCTGAGAAGAAGCTGTGAGTGTAGAGAACAAAGTGGTGCTGTCAATTTGGGGTGAAGTCGCCGGAGCTAGCCACAAACCTCGCCGGAAGTTTCGCCGGAAAATTCTCAAAACCTTCAATAAGCTTCTTGGTAAGCCCGTAGATATATCTAATTACTAGAATGTTCATATAGGTCATTTCTACGTTCATAAATGGTCATTTGGTTGAGTTTTGTGTTTGACATGCTTGAAGAACTAAGAATCATAAACCATGAAATTGATGTTAAAATTATGAATTAATGATGCTAAAATGATCTATGAACCTTAGAGAACATTTTTATATACTTTAATTGAAGTTTGGTGAGTAAAAGTAACATTTCCGCAAGTTGGCTCGAGGTAGAAGATGATGGAAAATCGATTATCAACTTGAAAATCGATTATTCATCGTTCTGCAGATTTTTGTAACAAAGCTAAGCAACAGTCGATTATCAGAATGTGATAATCGACTGTCAGCCCTCTCTGAAGTTTGATAATCGATTATGAGAGTGTGATAATCGATTATCAACCCATTCTGAACATCAGACAGTAGATTATCAGAAGTGACAGTAGACTGTCACCCTACACTATTGAAGAAAATGAAGCTAATAGCTAATAATTGAATTTCCTATCATATATTAATCAATTGTTATTTAGAAAATATGATTTTTGAGTTATGAAATCCTATATTTTGATACCAAACCATTATGATTAATAAAAGGATGATTTCTTGGAATAAAGATAGTATTTTAACAACTAAAAGGGATCTTATGTGATGCATGACGGTAAGCTAGGGTGTTAACACTCGATGCTAGGCCGCTGATTGTTATTAGTTATTATGATGATTGATTGATTGTTCATTTTTATGAATATTATGGATTAATGATGATGAATATTCTGGATGAAATGATTGTTGAACTAAGTGTTGAAACACGGGTTTATCGCTTTTTCGTACTAAAGCCGTGTTCGTTTTTATGACAGGTTTTGATAATGCCAAATCGCCGTGAACGAGACAAGTTGTTGAATATACAAGGTGAGAAATAAATATAAGAAGAAAGCAAGAGAACAAGAGCCAAAAGAGACCAAGAACGAAGACCGTAGTATTTAGCGTCATTGAGTCGGTCACAATGTGATCAAGACCGACCCAAGCTTTGCACTTTAGCTTTTTAGGCTAAAACATTTTTTATTGCATTTTACATAGCATCAAACATGTTCAAACATATTAAAAACACTTGGTGTTCGCCCAAACCAAAAACCAAGCCATCCGGGGTTCGGCTTTCGGAAACCGGCATTCGGTTTTAAGAAACCGGCGCTCGGCATTCGGTTATCGGCGTTGGTTTTTAGCGTCCGAACCAACCAAGTGGTTTTAAACTTTTTATGATTGGTTTTTACTTCTGGGCAGATTTAAATAGTTTTCCATCAAAAACACTTCAAAAACTACCTTTCGTTTTTTGTCGTTTGATAAAAACCATGCGAAACGGCATAAACTTGGCTAGCCATGGTTTTTACTGAAATGAAGTGGTTTTCAATTCTTTTTGTGTAGGAATTGTTTTTGAATGCATTTAAATGGTTCTCCAATCAAAACATCATGAAAACCACCTTTCGGTTTTGTCTTTTGGTAAAAACCACCCGTGTACGGTGTTGACTTGGTCAACCGTGGTTTTTACCTTAACGATGTGGTTTTCAACTTAAAAAGCTTGTTTTGACATCAGAATACATTAAATAAGTGTATTATACACTTATTTTTTACTTTGGAGAACTTTGCATTTTTCGGTCAGGTTTTAGTGCCGGTCGGCTAAGCCATGGTTCTGGACTAGCCATCTACCCAGCGATGGTAGATTTCACCCATGCATGGAAAAGTGATCCCCGGATCCCAGAATCATTTTACCCAGCGATGGGAGATATTACCCATCGATGGGTAAGTAGCCTTCAGCCCAATTGAATTCCAGAACCATGCCAAACAGCGATGGGAAGCTCTACCCATCGTTGTTCAAGCCTTGGTCCAACATTATCACAAGGCAGAATGCCCTTACCCAGCGATGGGAAGCTTTACCCATCGATGGGAACCCAGCGATGGGAAGGCATGACCGTTGGGAGTCATTTAAGGCTGATTCTTTCCTTGTTTGGAAGTCAACTTCCCACCCAGCGATGGGAAGCTTGTACCCATCAATGGGTAGGTGACCGTTGGCTTCAAAACTGAAGGAAAATTGGCTTACCAACGATGGGTAAGTTCCAAACATCGATGGGAAGCCAATATCCTACAGATCCCAAATTTATTCAATCCCATAAATCAAGCCAATCACCCCTTTAATGCATTGGTCCGTAGGAGCCTATTTTGGCACTATAAAAAGGGGTGTTTGGGTCTGCTTTTCTTAAGAATTCACTTCACTTTATTCATATTATCATTGCATCCAAACAACATTATTTTCCATAGCTTTCTAGAGCCAATTTGTGAAGCTTGAGTTGTTCTTGAGCGTATATAGTTTACTCAACATCTACTCTTAAAGAGAGTCTTGTTCTTGAGTGTTCTTAATCTTGTAAACACGTTTAGGGAAGCTTGTTTCCCTTGGTTGTACGAAGGAAAGGTATTTTCCTTTCAGTTGAAGTCTTGGAGTGCGGTATCTCCGAGCAAGTGTATTGAGGCTCGTGGGACTCGAGTTCTCAGGTTGTAACGGTTTGTTAAGCACCCGTAAGCTTAACGGAAGTAGTGTAGCTCGAGAGAGTCTCTCGGGAGGCTGGACTAGCCACACGTTGTGGTGAACCAGTATAAATCTTGGTGTGCTCCCTTTACTCCTTTTTATTCCGCTCTTTACTTTATCCTTGCGATTTTTATTTCGCGAAAATTTATAAACATTCTCGTGCCTCACTATTCACCCCCCCCCCCTCTAGTGAAGGGCACTTATTCTAACACTAAGAGTATGAATTGATGAATAATGTTGTTAAGGATATCTAGAAGAACTTTAAGATATACCTATTAGCTAATTTATGTTAAGACTATCTAGAAGACTTCTAGAATAGATCTTAGAATGAACTTATGAAAACATGAATAGTTGATGAATTAGATATAAATTCATAAACGGGATTCGTAGACCAAACTAGAGGATTAGTCGTTGGGAATGCCCGATCCATTGTTGACCAATCTCTATATTCTTGTTGCCTTAACTGACTACAGTTAAGTGTCCGAATCATTTGCCTTAAACTAGTGATAGTTTAAGTGTCTGATTGCCTTAACGGACTACAGTTAAGTGTCCAAAATCAATTGCCTTAAACTAATGATAGTTTAAGTGTCTGATTAATAATTGCCTTTTAAGAATAGCTAAGAGCATTATTATGATTTGGCCTTAGACTAAGAATAGCTAAGAGCATTATTATGATTTGGCCTTAGACTAAGAATAGCTAAGAGCATTATTATGATTTGGCCTTAGACTAAGAATAGCTAAGAGCATTATTATGATCTAGCCTTAGACTAAGAATAGCTAAGAGCGTTGTTATGATCTGGCCTTAGATTAAGAATAATTTAAGAGCACTATTGAAATAGTATCTGAATTGAATAAAATGTGTTAATATGAACTGAATAATATCAAAACTGTGAATGTCTGAAACGAACATTGTGTGCATGATATCAAAAGATTTGATTATGAATTTAGATTCAGTTTATATGGATGTTCGACGCATTAGATATGCTTACTCAGCTTTACCGCTGAGCGTGTAGTGTGTTTTATTTGCTACACGCAGGTAAACAGAAAGATTAATGTGATCCTG